GATAAATAGATTTATTTCAAAGATAAACTATAGTAATAGAAAATTACAGGACTTTTACACAAACATAACGTTACGAACATTACAGATAATACTTATAAGTTAGAATTATATGTGATAAAATAAGGGCTGGCAGTAAGGTCGTGCGGTTAACCGAATCGAACCGTTCTTTTGGTAAAACCGAAACAAAAAAACCGAACCGAGATAAATGACCGAGATACTTAATAAACAAAAATTTAAAGAAAAAGAGACAAAAACAACAATATGGATAAATGATCCAAAGCAATTATAGTTTGACTTAGATTTAATAAAACTTATTTGCAAGCTTGGTCTACCTTTTGAAATTTTAGACAATGGAGGAGCATAAGAGTTTATTGATGAAGTAAATTGCACATTTACTGTAAAATCTGCATCAACATTTAGACGTCAAAAGCTTCCTATGTTTTATGAAAAGGTAAAGGAGGGAATGCAAATAACTTTTCTGAGAGATTTTCCAGAAGTAACTGTATTTAGTTTTACAACAGATCTCTGGACAAATTGAAACAATGACTACATGAATCTTACAATTCACTACATTAGTTCAGACTTTAATTTAGAAAGTTTTTTCATTGCTTACGCACCATATACTGGTAGACACACTTAGGTTGCTATTGCAGTAAACCTAGACGCTTTTTTTGCTAATTTAAACTTAAATGAAGAAGTCCATGAATAATGACAATGGCAGCAACATTGTTTTAGCTGCTAAAGAAAGTGATGAAATTAATTCAGAATTGCGATGCAACGATTACACAATCCAGTTAGTTATTCTTAAAGCAATCAAAAATTCAATTGAACTTTCTAAAGCAATAAAAAACTGTACAGATTTAGCATCACACACACATAGAAGTGTACTCTCTACAATCAAGCTTCAAGACGTGAATTAAACCCAAGAAAACCAAGATTGTTTCATGTACAACATGTTGGAATTCTGATTAAATGTGCATAAAAAGTCAGTCCTCTTTTTTTTCTTTTTTTTTTTTATTTAGTTTACAATTTTTAATCGTAATATTTATTTTTTATTTTTTTTATTTTTTTTGAACATTATATTTTGCCGTTTAATAAGTATTACAGTTTCCAAAAATTTACAATTAAGTTAATGGCCGAAGTAAGAAGAAAGCATTAATTTGCCTTATTGCCGAGCACCGTGTTACAATTTATAATTTTTTACAAAGTTATTGAAGAATATATAGTATATAAGAAAAATTGAATATATGTTTACAAGAAATCAAAAACTAAAATAAGATATCGTTTAATATCTGATCTCATTACAAACACGCTTAAAACAGAAAAAAGTCTTGGTTCTAATAGCGTACCTACATTTCTCCTCAAACTAGTCTCACACATTATTTCAAAGCCTCTCTGTACTGTTATAAATAACTCATTTGAAAGTAATATTTTCCCAGATATTTTTAAAGTTGCCAAAATAATTCCAATATTTAAAAAAGGCTTTCTTCTAGATTTCACCAATTACCGACCCATCTTTCTGCTTTCTGATATAGGTAAACTCTTTGAGAAGGCAATGCATAATAGGCTATATTCTTTTCTTGAAAGTTTTTACACCCATCAGTATGGATTTCGTGCCAATCACTCCACAACTCATGCTCTCATTGAAATGACTGAACTAATTAGAAAAGCACTTGATGATAAATGTTGTGCATGTGGTGTATTTGTGCATGTGCACTTGATGATAAATGTTGTGCATGTGGTGTATTTGATTTACATAAAGCGTTTGATACAGTGGATCATTCAATTTTGTTGAAAAAATTAGAATATTATGGGATCAGAGGCGTACCGCTTAAATGGTTCACTACATATTTAAACAATATTACACAATTTGTTTCTATTAATGACTCAAAATCTACCTTTGTAAAATGTTCTAATGGTGTTCCTCAGGGTTCCGTATTAGGACCACTGCTTTTTCTTCTTTATATTTATGATCTTCGTACATCCATTAAGTTTGCTACTGTTTATCACTTTGCTGATGATACTAATCTAATACTAATTAATAAATCCCTTAAAAAATTAACAAACACATTAACCATGATCTTGCCAATCTAGTTCAGTGGCTTCGCTCCATCAAACTTTTTCTAAACTCTAATAAAACTGAACTCATTATCTTTAAATCAAATAAAACAAAAATCTATAAATATATAAACTTTAAAATAAGTGGCAAAAAAATTTAACCTGTTAACTTAATTAAATATCTTGGTATAAAAATCCATTCAAACCTTTCCTTTTTTTCCCACTGTAAAGACTTAGCAATGAAACTAAGTAGATCTAATAGTATATTGGCCAAAATTCGCCATTATGTTAATTTTGAGACACTTTTGAACATATACCATGCTATTTTTGGCTCACATCTTAGGTATGCATGCCAAGTATGGGGGCAGTCCCATCAAAAAGCTCTTATTAGATTATCCCACCTCCAAAACAAGGCTTTAAAAATTATTCATTTTCAGAATATTAAACTTAATCCTAATGTGCTCTACCTAACTTCTAAAGTATTAAAACTATGTGACTATATTCAACTTTTAAACTATCAATTTGTCTGGAACCACCAACACAACAACCTTTAACTTTCATTAACTTCTTTTCCAATAGTGCCAACAATCGTTATCACCTTCGTTCCAATAGTAATTTAAACCTGTCTGTCTCTAAACACCGCTCTCATAATTAAGGGCATAAATCCATAAAATATCAAAGCACTAAACTTGGAACAACCTTCCTTATGAACTAAAAGCTCTCAATTCATTCTCAACCTTTAAAACTAACATCTAAAACATCTAAAAAATTGCAAAACGTTTCAAAAATTTTATTTAGACTTCTAATATTAATGTGAAGGAGTCTGATTTTTTAATTTTCAGTGCCATTTTTATTAAGAAGTTCTTTTAACTCGTTCTGATAAAGATAAGAACAACATGTGTTCACATAGGGATGCCATATGGTAATCACTGAAAAAGTGATTTTACATAGTGGCGGGTTTTAGGGCGGGGGGCATGGGGTAATAGCCCCCCTGCCCTCTTAGGACTTTTTTCCAAAAAATTCTTTTGTAAATTGACTATTATACCGAATTGGACTACTATACTGACAAATGAAATTGACTATTAAACGTAATTATACGTATATGAATTTGATTATTACACTAAAGTACAAAGAATTAAAAAAAATTCAAAATGAAAATATGCAGACTTTTTTTTGGTGACCTTTTTAGCCCTCTTCTTGGCAAGTGACATAACCCGCCCCTGATTTTACAATACGTGTTAAATGAATGAGAATTCTTATTATTTAGTGAGGCATTACCAGAGTGGACTTCTTTTATGAGAATTAAATAAATAATAACCCCCTTTTTTAAAAGTAATTTTTTTTTAACTCAAATTGCTGGTTTTGCTAATTCTAATTCCAAAATGTTCACATTCAATTTTATTGCTCTCTTATAATTATTGATTCTCGATAAATTTAGTCTTATAACTTATTCTATATTAAAAATATACTATACTATATAAATGCAAGCCAATAATTATTCCTCCATTATTTAACTTGTCCCTATTGTCATCTTGTAACCATTGTTCACTTGTATCTAACTAATCACTTGAATCAGTTATCAATTTCACTGTTATTAACCAATCATTTGTCGGAACAGAGGGAGAACTATAGACAGGGGAAGATAAATCATACCAACTATACTTTTTTGTAGACTTTATCTTTTTCAATAAGTCTTTGTTTAATAACAAAAACTTATTGAACTTGTAAGTTTGAAAATTGGTGATGGCTCAATGATTTATTAACATTAAAAAAGGGGCTTTTTTGTTCACAATTAAGTCTTCAACTTGATCCCAAATAGAAATACTGTCAAGTTTTATTAAACTTAAAGCTTTTAACTCTTGTTATTTAGACTAATAACAGGTCAAAGTTTACTTACCTTTACGTAATTTATTGGTCACAACTTTTGTTTTTGCAAGTTTAAATGCGCGCGCATTTTTCAATATTGTGTAATCAAGAGAAAAGGACACGTGCTGTGTGAGCATTTTGAATAAATTGTTAGTGACTAAAAACATTTTACATTTAATAGTTTTTACATTTTCAGTTCTATACATTTAAGTATTAAAATTTAAGTATTAAATATCGAATTTTTATAAAAATTAAATAAAAACCTCTAAAAAGAGGAGATTTGATGTTTTTTTCTGAAATCCCCCAAAGCCTTATTTTTTGCCTTAAATCCGGAGATCTCCGGGCAAATCCGGAGATATGGCAACCCTATGTTCACATCATTAAAAAATTTGACTTCTGGATCTGAATTAAAATTTGATTTTAAGTTTTTATCATGAAAATTAAAAGTAATGGATTCGTAGTCCATCTATTTTTGTTTTTAAATTTATATATAGAGTATTAAAAGAATTTCTTTGTAGTTATAGGTCGCGCGTAATTAATTTATTGTAAACAACTTTAGCAAACTTACATTTCGCTCTTAATTCTTTCGTTTCTTTGAAAATCTTTCTTCGTAAATCCATTGTAAAATCGCTAAAGTCTTCGTTAACGTACAACCGTTCGTTCCACAGCTTCATCGTCGTATATTTGTTTAACACTAGGGCTTTGTCTTTGTAGTTTTGAAATCGAACAATTATTGATCTGTTTTTTCCGTTTTCTTTTCCAACTCGATGGGCTCTATCTATTAAAATTTTTTCTTGTATATTAGGCTTTGTATTGAGAAAGTCTTTGATTTTTTGCTCACTTTCTTCCCAAGTTTCATCAGCTTTATCTTTAATCCCAACAAATCTCAAGTTGTTTCTACGGCTTCTGTCTTCTAGTTCTGCTATTTTCTTTTTTATGTTATTAGTTCCATTTTAAATATTACTTTCATCTGGTGATTTTTTAGACTCTGTTTTTATTAATTCTGTAAGTTCAATTATTATTTTATCATAGCTTTTACTTATAAATTCAACTGCTTTCTGTTCCTCAGATAATTCTTTTTTTTAATGTAAAACTTTCATCTTTTAAGTTATTAAATTTAGTTTCCATTTTTTCAATCCAATCATTAAAAATTTTCACCATAGTACTCTCGTGATTTTCAAGGATTTCTTTAAGTTGTGCTGATGTAAATTTTTTCGCCATTATTATAAGTTTTTTAATAAGCGTTATTTTAATAAGCATTATTATAAGTTTTTTTTATACCATTATTATAAGTTTTTTAATAAGCGTTAATTTTAATAAGCATTATTATAAGTTTTTTAATAAGCTTAAAACACGTCCGTTCGCGGTGAAAATCTTTGAAGTCAAAGATGCAATCAAAAAAACAGGGCTCTTTTCCGACAGATTCGCTATTCGAATTGAGAAAATCGAATTTATTGGAGAAATGTTTTTTGGGATGTCAAGTAGTTATATACATGTTTAAAATATGGGAGTTATTTCAACAGAAGGAGGACAGTAGACAAATATGTGGATGTTGTCCACGATTTTACCGCAAGTTTTACATATGTTGTTTCTTACAATCTGTTGCCTTGTGTTTTTGACTAGCAAGACCGCAGAAGGTCAACTGTTGTGTAGAAATCGAAAGAGGATATTTTTGTCAGTCCGCATGCGTGGGAGGTAAAGTTTCTTTCCCAAATTTGGGTCCACGGCATTGTTGTTTTTATTGAACCGTTCCAAAAAAGTTCTGCTGGTACAACTGTCTTTTTGTTTTTTGCCACTTCTAAATAAAAAATTTTTTTTTTGATTTTAGGGGGGTGTTAAAAAGGGACCCGTTTTTGCCTAATATATCAATTGTTGTTTTACAGTACTGAGACGTTTTGTTGTCCCAGTGTTTTGGAAAATTGTTCTGTTTTAAAAAGTTCCAACTTTGGTTTTGGTTCGTAAGTTTTATAAGTGAACTTGTTAACCAGTACTTTGAAAAGTAAGAGTAATTATGAGTGTCATTCTCTCCGCATTTTTTCAGTTGAAAGAGTGTTTTGAGGCAAAGTGCTAGATTTTGCTCCTTCAGTGATAAAATTCCGAGACTATCGTTTTTGACGGGTAAGAAAAGCGTCTCTCTTTTGACTGGATTGAAGTTGGTCTTTTGCCACAGATTTTTGAAAATGGCGCTGTGTAAACGTTCTATTACCTGTTCTATTAATGAGGAATGGGCAGCACATTTGTCAGAAACCACACTTTTGACAATGCTAGCATATTTATCAACCTAGTCTTTCCCCTAAGTGATAAAGTACGTAGTCTCAGAAACTTGAGTTTTTTCTCTACTTTGTTTAGAGTTACTAGCCAGTTGAAATCGGTAATATTACTCAGTCTGGTGTAAAAAGTAACACCCATAATTTTGAAACCGGTGTTATTGGTCCACTCTATGTTGTCCAATTCTGGGTACATTTTATGATCAAAACCCCCAAGAGCGAGACCCTTGGTTTTTTAGGTATTGATCACTGAACCACTTGCTAATGGACAGATTTCACGTCCCTGGAAAAAAAGTTCAAATTGTCTGCGTACTGCTATATTTTAAGAGGTTTTGATGTTCCTGATAGTGAGAAATCCTCTATTCTGCTGTCTGCTCTGATTACCAAAGCGAGAGCTTCAGCGACAAAAACATACAGCAAAAGAGAGAGAGGATTGTCTTGCCTAACTCCTCTTTCCGTAGAAAAAGAGGCCGATATGAAACCGCATCTCGGAACAGATGCCAAAACTTCTGAATATAGGGTGTCAATGAAAGATACAAAATTTTCTCCGAGGTTAAATTTTTGGGAAACCTGCAGCAGAAACGCACGATCGACTTTGTCGAACGCCTTTTCTTGATCTATTGACAAAATGAAACTAGGTAGACTTTTAAATTCCGCGTAATCTATTAGATCACGGACTAAATGTAAATTTGAGAGTATTGCTCTACCTGGAATTCCGCAAGTTTGATTTGGTTCTATAACTTTTCCCATTACTTTTGCAAGTCTTAGGGCCAGCGCTTTTGTGATTATTTTGTAATCAGCGCTGATTAAAGATATGGGCTTCCAATTTTTGCATTCAGTAAGATTTTCACCAGGTTCACTCGTCAATGTGCAGTCATTTTTGCGAACTTCGGTAACTGACTTGTTCCGCTGATGTGTTTTTTCTAAATTATACCAAAATTTTGAAGGTTTTTCTCCTTCTTAGATTAGTTTTTACTTTGTGGAAATTAAAGCTCCGGGAAACTAGAGCACGAAAAGAGCATCGCGTTTATGTTTGATGCTATCTAAATTCGGGTTAGCGTTTTGTCGCTCCCGTTGGATTTCGTTTTCAATCCTTTTGATATGTTTTATTTGCCTGTGTACATCAATTTCTCATTGGGAGCAATTTAATTTCCAGTACCCTGATCCTTTCCTAGTTTTACTAAAATTGACTGTTGTCGACACGATATATAACTAATATATTTTCCTTATATTTTTTTTTTTACTTTTTTAATTTACCTTATATTTACCTTTTATATGGCGACGTAAATATATAAGTATTGTGGTTTATCCTCCTCCAGCTAATTGCCATACGGAGGCCACATTACCAAGGACCGCAAAGACAAGTTTAGCTAATAAATAGCATCATTACCTGCTCTACGGACCAAGAGTAAAGTGAGTTTAGGAAGAACGAAGAATGTTAGAGTAAAAGACAGAAGAGATTGTGTTAGAAAGATAGCATACAGAAAGCGGACAGGATTGCACACGATGTTAGAAGGTGCAATATGTTACTATACACATAATTGGCTGAAGCCAAATAGTGTATGCAATATATATGTATATATATATATACACATATATATATATATATATATATATATATATATATATATATATATATATATATATATATATATATATATATATATATATATATTATAAGTAATATATAAGTTAACATCGCGAGGTTTATGTATATATAAATATATATATATAGTTACATATTTAAGGAAGAAAACGCTAGATCATCCGAACAAAAATCTTGTTTGTGTTAATTGTGGTTTGATATTTTATTAATCACGTAAATTTTATTTAAGTTATATAATTTCGCAATCGCAATGTTTGGTCGCATACTTTGGATCAACGTTAGGTTTAGTTAGTAAAAACAATCAATTTTTTGCAATGCATTTTCATACATTGAATCAACGTCGAAATATATACATTGTATCAACGTTGGGTTTAGGTCGTAAAAACAATCAATTTTTTGCGATTGTTTTTACATACATTGGAACAAATTTGCCAGATGTTTTTAGTTCCGTCGGTAATAATTTTATCATTAACCAAATGACATTGGATCAACGTTGGTTTTGCATTGGAAAAAAGAGCCGACGTTCGCGATGGTTTTACATATGTTGGCCCAATGTAAATGTGCTAGCTGGGAAGATGTCTTAATAATGTTGCAATGCTCAAGATTAGTTGACGATAACACACAACATGCGATATTATTATTCCAATCGGTTATGTACGCTTAAAACTTTTATAATGAAAAAACAAAAAAAATGTAAAAAGAAAATATTTATTTTTGAAAAGTGTTAAAAATAAAACGTATAAAAAGTTAGTACAAAACCTAAGTGTTTAAAAGCTTGCTATCCACCAGCCTAGACTTCTTTAAAAAAAACTACACTGCATTTAAACGTTAATGTTCACATAAATCTGTTTAGTTATCGTTTAGTTGAAAAAATATATATTTTCAGTATATTATAATTGTTGTTACTATAATTTTGTTTTGTTTTTTTTTTACAGTGGAATTATATTCAATGGAAAACATTACAGAAATAAAGCCTGACCAGCTGATGACTGTTTTAACTAATTTTCCAAATGAATACGAGATATCGTTTGACTTTAAACCAACCTCATTTTTGAAAACATGGGGAAGTATTATTCATTTAACTATTGGTGGAAACTATGCTAACTACGGCGATAGATCACCAGGAGTATGGATTTCGCCATATAATGATTTATATTTTGCGTCAGCTATAAGTGGTTTGCCTAGTTTCGAGTTTTATTCAAAAATAATTCCACTAATCAATGAGTGGATAAAAGTTAAAATATCACAAATAAAGTTAACAAATCAGTATATATATGCAATTGATATAGCAAACAATAAAGTTTACAGCACGCAAAACACTCTTTCAAAAAATTTTAGTAATGTAAAAGTGTATATTGGCAATCCATGGTATTCTGCGCAACCTGGATTTATTCGAAATTTAACTATCGTTGATAAGTTTTCAGGTTAAATATTATTAGTTCAAATCAAATATATATATAATATATATATATATATATATATATATAAAAATATATATATATATATATATATATATATATATATATAATATATATATATATATATATATATATATATATATATATATATATATATATATATATATATATATATATATATATATATATATATATATATATATATATATATGTATATATATATATATATTTACAAATATATACATATATCTTTATATTCAAATGTTTAAATTTTTTTAGATAGATATAAACATTATGAGCCACTTTTCAAAGTTAACATCTCTGGTCAGCTGAATATGTAAATACAATTTAATTTTAGGAAAGTTGTTATTATCAATATAACAAATTATAATGAAATGTAAATTAACTATTTTTGTAACAAAACAAAAGTCAAAATGATGAAGGTAATACCTAGGGATGTACCTGAAATCTGCTGCGGCCATAATTTGCGACACTTAGGAATTTGTGACTTTCCTGTTCCGGCCGGAAATACAATATTTTAGACCGTAAGGCCGCATTTTATTGTTTACCTATACATTTACTCAAAAAATCAATATCCTACAAGGCAATGAAGTTATATATCCCACTCTAGCAAAGAAAAAAAAAATTTAATATTTACATGAAACGGTTTAAATTTTTGAAACTACGATACTTTGAACAACTATTATTTAAATTTTTTAATTGTTCTGTTGACATCTTTTTTTAAAAATAGGGGTGAAACAGGCATGTTATGAATTTTTTTGTTCAAAATAGGTATCTTCCAAAGATGGTGTAAACTTTGAAATGTGTAATATTAATCCTGGTATCAAACAAAAATGTTTTACATTTTTGTTTGATACTAGGATTTTAAAACTTTGGACGCACTGTCCCTAATGTAAATAGAAAGAGAAAAAAATTTATTCCAGTATCTTTAAATAGATCAAAAATCATCGGAAAATTTAATTTATTTTTAAAAAATTTGAAATCGTTTAAAAATAGTAACCAGGAATAGTTTGAAACCCCAAAGGTATTAAAAAGAAAGTCATAGGAAAAGGGAATTAAAGTCATGGTTGTAACCAAAGTTAAAGACATTGCAGTTGAACAAACAAAAAGCTCTTTGAAAGCGCTTTTTCCATTTAAAAAAATACCAATTTTGGAAATAAAAAAATTTAAAAACATTTGTTGACTTATAGTCGTAGTAATAAAGAGGGCTAAACTTCTTAGCATATATAGAAACTCGGAAGGCAGAAAATTGTTTGAAAGCGATGTAAGAGAGAAACTGGAAAGAAAGAGAATTATTTGAAAGCAATGTAAGAGAGAAATTAAATAACGAAGATAGATTTTCAAATAATAATAGTGATGTTAAAGTAACACTTTTTGAAAAAGATTCCAGACAATTGATTTATTTTTAAAGCATTAAAGGATTTGTTGAGACAGTAATAAATGTGGAAAAATAAAAATTTCTTTTCAGTTTCTTAAAATAGAATAAAAATCATCAGAAAATTCAATTTATTTAAAAAAATTTCAAATCGTTTAAATATGGCAACTAAAGAAAGTTTGAAACCCCCTCTATTTGAGGGGGTAGTCAACTTTACGAGGTTAAAATATTTTTTTACTAAATGAGAATTTTACAGATGAGTTTTAGTCAAGTTTAGAACTTTCCTTTAAAAAACTTGCACCTTGGGACCCAAACTTTATTGCAAATTTTAAACAATACTTGACTTACAGTAAAAAAATGTTTACACTGCAAGTTAAATGTAAAAACAACATTACTTTGTTTTGTATATTTCCTTGTGGTTTACCAAAATAAAATTTAATAATAGATATGAACAATTTTTATCTGCTGCAGTAGTTAATAACAAATTTAAAAAAATGATTAGTATGGCTCATATTGCTTTAAAATACTCATAAAGACTATAAAGCTGTAGTCTGCCTAATTTGTTTTTCAAAAGTATTTTTAATGAAAGACAAGAAAGAAAGACAAGAAGAAAGTGTGACAATGACCAGAATACATAAGTTCAATTTAAAATCATTTGATTTGAAAATTAAAACCTTTGCTAATGGCATTTGTACTAAATGTAAAAGGTCTTGAAAAAGGGAAAAAAACATTCAAAGTGAACCGTACTACTTTTCAAAAGTCAAAGTACATATACATACTAGAAACCAATAATTCTGGGTATGTGACATTAGTAAAATTGCTAGAACTATAATTATTCCGAGATCAACACCTGTAAATAGAGGGAGAATCAAGTAGGAAAGAGTAATGGCATTATTATTTGGAACAATAAAAATAAGTAAAAGTTGTAGCGATGTCACTGGAAGAGGATTACACCCCTTTTATTCTCTCGCAACAAGAAGAAAAACTTTAACAGAAGAATTTTACAAAAAACCTTTTTTTTTTTTTTATTTAATATTTTAAACTTGAAATTAGAAAATTTAAATATGAACTTGAACTATTAAAACTGAAAACATGGATGTAAATCTCTTTTGATACTAAAAAAAACAAGATACCAAATATTAATGTTTAAAGATATTGAAAAGAAAGTTAGAGGAAAAGGGAATTAAAATCAAAGTTGCAGCCAAGCGTAAAGCCATTCCAGTTGAGCAAATAAAAAGCGCTTCAAAAGCGCTTTTTCCGGTTGAAAAAATCCAAATTTTGGAAATAAACAAAGTTAAAAACACTTGTTGACTTAAAGTCGGAGTAATATAGAGGGCTAAAGTTCTTAGCATATATAGAAACTGGTAGGGCAGAAAATTATTTGAAAGCGATGTAAGAGAGAAATTAAATAACGAAGATAGAATTTTATTTAATTATATTAATGTTAAAGAAATATTTTTTGAAAAAGATTCCAGGCAGTTGATTTATTTTTAAAACATTAAAGGATTTGTTGAGACAGTAATAAAATTTTCAAAAGATTACACGCTAGGGTGGGCACTGACGTTATTTTTAAAAGTTTGTTAAAATATTATAAAAAAGTGACAGTGTAGTTTCAAAAAAAAAGTTAAATAAGATACTGGCGTGAAAAATTGTTTATTATTAGCCAAACAGAAAATGTTGCTGAATCTCATTTAATTTTTAAGAAAATAAATACTCTTTAAAAGCTAAACAGTTTAAGATACTTTAGTTCTTTTGATATTAAATTAGTCAATGTATTTTATGAATGGTAAGTACAGCATCAACACATCCTTGCCCTTGGTGTAGCATTAGCAAAGAAAAAATACAAGATTTTGAAATTCATGATAGGCTCAGAAATCTAGCAAATATCCGTTCATTTGTTAATGCTTAGAAAGCTGCCTGTAAAGATTAAAAAAAAATTCAAGCTTTCAACTGCATCTTATATTAATGCATAACACAATTTATAGAACTGCATCTTATATAAATTGCGTTAACATCCTACAAGTTTATTTGCCTGATGACGTAAAAGTTATTGAAATCCTTGCTTTATTGGAACTTAGTTTATTTTGTGGAAATACAAACAGAATTTATGATAATCTTGAAAAATGTTTGCAATCTATAAATACCACTACATCGGCAAACCAGTAGAACTAAATTTTAGGTTTCCAAAGGTATAATCTGTATGTTGGTCAATTTAAAGGTGGAGAATGTTCGAATCTGCTCAAATTTATTTATGTGTTAAGAAGAATAATTAAAATCTTCCAAACTGCAAAAAAATGAACATATCATTTTTATATTAAATTTCTTTAAATGTTTAAAACCTGTTAAAGTTGCATGCATTAGCTCTTGTTTGTAACCTGAATATGAGTCAACCATTAACAAATAAAAAGATGCTTATGTCTTATGTATAACTTGGTCTACGAGTGTCATTGAAGGTGCATGCTTTTATTAAGTATTCATATGATTTTCTTTTACTTATGTCAAATTTCAATCTAAAATAAGGATTGAATCTTTAGGTTGAACAGGCCTCTGAATCTATTTATTATGATTTCGAACAGTGTTGGGCGAGTGGATACAAAGCTTTTAGTAGCCGAAAAGACTATCCGCAAAGCTTGATTAAAGCCACTGTCATTCCAACATATCTTCTTTAAATCAGTTTTATTTCAAAAATAAAAATGTTGCATAGTATAAGTGTATTTTTTAGAAACTAATATTGATTTTAAATGAAAATAAAATATATGTAAATAATATTTTGTATTATTTAAACCATTTTCTCATTGAAAAACATTTGAATATATACTAAAACGTCTCAAAATTTTTTTATTGCTCAAGATAAGTAACCTCAAAAATATGTATTTTTTCACTAATACTAAAAATATGTTAAAAAAATTATGGCTATCAGAGTAAGGGAACAGTATTACCCTAAAATTAGGGCCCTGAATTTCGAATATTTTTTTCAGGGAAAGGAACAATTATAGCACTTAAATAAAATCTACAATTATAAATTTAACTAAAGTTCATTAGTAAAATTTTCATTTATTAAAAAACTATTTAAACGTTCCAATGTTATGGTCTCGTATAGTTAATAACCTCTTAAAATAGATGGGATTTCAAACTTTTACTTGTCGCCATTTTTAAACAATAGCAAAAATTATTAAATAAATTAAAGTTTTCGATGATTTTTGATCTTTTTTATGACCAAAAATCCATAAACTGTCCATATAACCTCCGTATCATTTGAAAGACGTCGACAGAACATTTCTAAATTAAAATTTAGATAATAGTTATTTAAAGTATTGTGGTTCTGAAAATGTAAATCGTTTTTAGTGAACATTTTTTTTTCAAATAAATTTTTTCCGCTATGGTGTGATAAATAAACTTATGTAAAATACACAAATATCTGAACATACACAATCTTATTTTATTTGCATTAATCAATTATAGAAAGGTTTCTGAAAGTTTAAGAATATTATGGTGCAAAAAAAGTTGATCTCCAGTTATAGGTAATAAACAAGTTCTTTTTTTTATCAAAACTTCACGTGCCTCTTCGAACAATCTATTTTAATGTAACTTACACTTTTAATAGTTAACAAATATAGGATGTTTATAATAGTAAATATTTCATATTTAGCCTAAATAAAAAAATAGAAAACAAAGAAATAACTTTTATATAATTATTATGTAAGTTGAAACTTATTACATTCAATTATACACACACACGCACACACACACACACACTATATATATATATATATATATATATATATATATATATATATATAATATATATATATATATATATATATATATATATATATATATATATATATATATATATATATATATATATATATATATATATATATATATATATATATATATATACATACATATATATATATATATATATACATATATATATACATATATATATATATATATATATATATAATATATATATATATATATATATATATATATATATATATATATATATACATATATTGTAATTTATAAGTATATATTATATTGCCACGATGCTAAGGCTGTTACTTTAATATTAAAGATAAAAAATGATATAAAATCTCTTGTTTCGGCCGTAATTTTATTGACAAATTTGATAAATCCAACTCCGGCCGGATTAATTTCGTTACACCGCTGCGTATAACTTAAATTTATATTCTTTTGAAATAACTATTTAAAAATAAATTTTTTCATTTTAGAAACTTTCTATTTCTTAACACTACAATTAGTTATGCAAGTGAAACAGGAGATGTTGCTTATAACTTAACATGGGAATACATGTTACCATATTTTTCAAAGATATCTACTCAAAGTGACAGTTATCTGAATATGGGCTCTTCTTATAAAGTATGAATTTCTATTGTATAACATTTATAAATTTATACGTTTGTAAATTTTCAAAAAATAATTCTAAAAACTAATAACGAAACTAATAAATTGTGTAAAATATTGTGGATTGTTTAAATATAACGTGTGCTGTTTGTCTCACACTGTTTCATAAAGTCATCTTAAACTCAAAAGAATACTTCTGCTTTAGAAACAAAAATTAAATATTTTGTCTTAAACCATTAAAGTTAGGAGGGAACCAACTATGCTAAGATTGTATATTAAAAAGACCAATAATACCAAGATGGTCTTATTGATTTTTTTAATATAGAATCTTAGCAATTATGGATAAGGAAGATATCCACAATTAATTTCTATGTTTCGGGTAACTATATTTTGTAGTTTTTTTTTATTTTTTATTTTTACTTTATAGTAATGTTCTCCGTTATAGTGACATTTTTTTAACTAAAAATTTGAAACCAAGAAAACTAAAGGTTTCATAATAATATGTATATGTTATTAAAAAAACGTACAGTTTTCTCAACGCATGCATACATGCATACACGGCATGTAAAATTATTTTAAAATTCATTTGTAGTTCTACGCAAATGTTTATTGATACACATATACTTACAGTACAAATATGATATAGATTAAGACATTTAGGTATATGTTAATTGTATTCATATTTATGGACTTGGAGAGTATAAGTTATGCATTACACCAATATACACATATAATATACTTTTGTGGTGAAACTACATAGAGTTAATGAGTTTCTGATATTACAAAGTGTAAAGTATTATGTTCCATTTGATTTTAAATGAACAAGATTAGTGTTCAAAATAAGTAATCATGCTGAGAAGTAAAGTTGTTTAAGTTGAGAGGAATCCTGAACTCTGGAGCCTGTCAAAAAGAGAACTCTTAGTTTATAAAAGAAACACTGCAGCAACCTTCCCGTTGACGGAAATAATTTGTAAATGTCAAATTTTAGAAATGTTATAAATGTAAGACATTTATACAAAGAGGAAGACCATGAAATTCATTTTTAGGAGTTGTATTCCTGTTCCTGATTTCAATGTTTTAATGAAAATGGTAATTAAATATATGTATGTATATATATATATTATATATATATATATATATATATATATATATATATATATATATATATATATATATATATATATATATATATATATATATATATATATATATATATATATATATATAATATATATATATATATATATATATATATATATATATATATATATATATATATATATATATATATATATATATATATATATATATATATATATATATATATATATATATATATATATATATATATATATATATAAATATATATTTTTTTTTTTTTTTTTTTTTGTTCTTATTACAATTTTATTTGGTATAATATCGTTTTACATAAAATAAAAAGAACACGGAAACTCGAAGAGGATGGCAAGATACTGTCACCGAGAACCGTTTAACAATGCGATACAAAACAAATAAAAACAAAATACCGATATTTACAATACAAGATTTTTAATAAGCCAAAACCAAACATAAAATACCGTTAAAAAATGTCAAAATATGTAATAAAACTAAATATTTAAATAAAATATTCAAAAAAACTCGAAGATGTTATCAATTGTCAAAATAACTTTTTTCAGTTTATTTTTGAAAGTAAGAAAACTACAATTTTTAGAAAAATCAAAGTTTTTTAACACTATTTGGTTCCACAGAAAAGCTCCGCGATATGATATAAGAGATCTTCCAAAATTTGTGTGCAAATAATGTTGATGAATAAGATTGTCATTTCTTAATTCATATTTGTTTCTTGGCTTTATTGCATATAAATTTTGAAAAAATATTGGGGTTAAGTTTATCTTACATCTGTACATAGGGCAAAGAACATTAAAAACATTTAGTTGATATATATTAGGAATATTCATGTCTATTAAAAGAGGTATTGCATGAGTATAACGATCTTTAAAATTTATTAGAGTCGCTAGATGCTTCTGTTGCCGATAAACAGGTTCTAATTGACTATTATTAGCACTACCCCACGCAACGTTAGCATAGTTTACATGACATTGGATTAGCGAGTAATAAAGTTGAATTAATGCATGTCTATTTAGAAAATTTCTCGCTTTATACAACATTCTAATATTTTTTGAGACTTTATTTCATAATGTTTCGATATGATTTTTCCAAGTTAAGTTTTCATCAATGAAAACACCAAGGAAATGTATAACTTTTGATTGCTTTATTTGAACATTGTCAATATATATTTGAGGCATATCATTTGGTAAAATTTTTTTTTTGGATTTAGGATGAAATAGAGTCCATTGAGTTTTTTCTAAATTAATTGATAATTTATTTGTCTTAATCCAATTTGAAATTTTAACTAACTCTATGTTTATGTCATTAAAAAGTGTAACAATATCACTACTGGACAGAAAAAGGTTAGTGTCATCGGCAAACATCACTGTCGTTAAATTTGAGGCATTATGCAGATCATTAACATAGACGAGAAAAAGGAGTGCCCCCAGTATAGACTCCTGTGGAACGCCACATGTTATATCTAGCAAATTTGTAGAGGAGGATACATCAATTTGCACAAACTGTTTACGATTGCTTAAATGGCTTTTTGGCAAATTTAGAAAATTTCCGCTGATTCCATAGTTTTTAAGTTTTTGAATAAGAATCTCATGATCTATCGTATCAAAAGCTTTTGATAGATCAATGAAAACGCCAAGAGTAAATTGTGATTTTTCAAAAGTATCTGCAATATTTCTAGTTAAATGAAGTATTGCGTGTTCAGTGGAATTATTATTTTTAAATCCATATTGACTGGTATTTAATATTTTATTTTTAGAAAGATGATCATATATTTTATTGTAAAGAATCTTTTCAAAAACTTTTAAAAAACCAGAGAGTACAGAAATTGGACGATAATTAGTTATATTTGATAGTTCCCCTCCTTTAAAAATTGGTGAAACTTTGGTGATCTTTAGTTGGTCAGGAAATATCCCCTGTTTTATTAAACAACTAAACACTTGGAAAAGAATAGTTTTTATGTTCTCATAAGATGCAATTAAAATGTTACTATTTGTTCCATCCGGGCCTTTTGCTTTATTGGTTTTTAGCATTTTGTAAGCACATTCAAATTCTTTCATGGAAATTTCAAAATTATTTAGTACGGAAATTATGGGAAGGGTAAAATAACTTGTTGAGTTAGTTATAATTGGAATATTTTTAGGTATGTTTAGACCAACAGTTATAAAATAGTTATTTATCTGATTTGCTATATCTTTTGGATTATTTAAAAAAATATCATTGTTTTTAATAACTTTTGGCAAGTTGCTTGTTTTACTCTTATAGTTGCCAGTAATTTCATTCAAAATTTGCCACGTGCGCTTTGAGTTATTTTTAAAACTTCTCTAGTAAGTTTGAGTAGTATTTTTTTTTTTAAGTTTTTTCTTTGACATTCAAAATGCTTCACGTAAGTTTTATAAATCTCCTTATTTTTATCAGTTTTGGACTTTAAATACTTTATATATAATTTTTGTTTAATTTTGGACGATTTTCTAAGTTCTTTTGTAATCCATGGTGACTTAATACTTTTTTTTGTAAGACTTACTTCGTATTAAGTTTGCGTCATAAACTTCAAAAAATGTTTTAAAGAACGAGTTATAAACTAGATTTGCTTCAGATGAGAAATTTATATGTTTCCAGTGTAGTAATGATAGTTGTTCATTAAACGACATTAAATTTGCTTCGCTGAAACATCGTTTAAAGAAAACTTGATTTGTTATCGGTACTAACTCAATGTCAATATTTATTGAGAAAAAAATCGGAAAATGATCAGAAACATCACTTTTAATTAAACCCTTTTTGATGGATTCATTAAAAGTATCCGTTGTCATAATGTTGTCTATTAAGGAAGCAGAATTTGAAGTTACCCTTGTTGGTTTATTGATTAACGGAATTGCGCCGTTTTCAAATAAATCGTTATAAAACCCATTTATTTTGTAATTTACATGATAATTGAATGCGTTTAAATTTATGTCACCAATTTTGTAGTTTAATTTCTTTTCTAATGTAGTTTTTTTTTATTATATCGGTAATTAAAAATGACTTAAAACTATTTATTTCACCAGACGGTGGGCAATAACAGCAACTTATAATCATATTTTTGTTTTTTTTGGCTAAGATTTCAATTGTTAAAACCTCTTTATCGGCATCAGAAATACTCATGTCAGGCCTATTTATAAACCGCATTTCTTCGCTTAAATAAAAAAGTACTCCACCTCCTCGTTTTTTAGTCTTGCGTGCTAAAGATAAAAACCCGGAAAATGGAGGTTTGAGTTAGATTTTGTCTCATCGGAGCTACACCAAGTTTCCGTTACGCATATAATGTTAAAAATGTTTAAAGCTTCCTCAATATTATTCCTAAAAGATTCAAAATTCTTTTTTAAGCTTCTTATGTTAAAGTGTATTACATTTAAGTGATCTCGTTCTAGAAATTCCATTAGCTCATTGTTATAAAAATAGGAGCAATTTTTTAACAAAGCACCTGCTACTTGTATATATATATATGTATATATTATATATACATTATATATATATATATATATATATATATATATATATATATATATATATATATATATATATATATATATATATATATATATATATATGTATATATATATATATATATATATATATATATATATATATATATATATATATATGTATGTTATATATATATATGTACATATATATATATATATATATATATATATATATATATATATATATATATATATATATATATATAGATATATATATATATATATATATAATATATATATATATATAATATATCTATATATATATATATATATATATATATATATATATATATATATGTATATATATATATATATATATATATATATATATATATATATATATATATATAAATATATATATATATATAT